CAAATGTCGAAAGACGAGGTGCCCGGAACGACTCAGTTGGCCCTCGGCTTGCCGACGGACCTCAGCAGACCAGGGCCGATGTACGTTCCCACCCGCAGCACTCCTCCTGCACGGTCGCACACATTAACTCAGCCTTGGCAAAGAGGACCAGGGACGGGCATCTTGGGGGGTTGCGAGGCCCCGGCAGCCACGTGTGTGATGGAACAACTAACAGTTGCTTGTGGAGAGCTCCATGTGTCTCCGGATGTCTCGATGTCTCGACGTCTCGATGTTCACGCCAACCCGCCTGCCAGAAGCGCACACTGCCTGCCCGTCTTTGGAAGCTGGCTTCTTTGACAAGCGTCCATGATGCCAGCATCAGCCCACTCATACCGACACATCCTTCCGCAACAATAGGACGGCCTTGTATACCCCCGCTCATCTGCCAGCCCCGAAGGCTGAGATGAGGCTGAATTGCCTGCACCACGGCATTTGTCAACGCTGATGTCTCGCTTGCTCTGGCGAATAACCCATGAAGAGGATATAATTATACCCAAGACATGCTCATTAAAAGTATCGTGAGAAATCATGATGACGCGATGCTCAACACGGCAGGTGCCTGAAGGACTCCGCTGGGGCCAATGAAGCGTTGCGGGCTCGGGACTTGGACCTTGCAAGCTTGGCTTGGACGGCCAACCAACACTTGGAGACTCTCCAAGCTCGTCGTCACTTGTCATGTTTTTTTCAGGTGGAAACTGGCAGGGGAGTTGCGAGCGTGTATGTATATCTCTGCATGCATGTACATATGTATGTACATGTACAGCCGCCGAACGAGGGGAGCCGAGGACAGGGGAACGCGTTGTGTGCAATGGAGCCGACACGAGGCCACACCCGACAAAAATCGGCTACATGAGCTCACGCAGTTACAACACAGCGTCCAACTTGGCCTTCGTTCACGATCCCCGCAGCAAGCATCTTTGGATCAGCTCGAGATGCTGGTGGCAAGACTCGGTGCTGAAGCGGATTGTCGTGGATGCAAGCATGATTCATCTCGCCATCATTCAACCACGCACCTGCGTCATGACTACGTACATATGTACTATTGTCCCCAGCAGTCGAACACAACCGCGCCGAGTCGACTACTACTAGTAGTTGTGCAAAGACCCAAAAAGGAACAAAAGGGGGGATGGATACCACGGACCAAGAGGCGGGACGTCGTTGCACCCATAGCCAAAGGGCATGTTTGTCCGAAAATGGCGACGTGCAGGTTCAGCAGGTCAGCGCAATCTGGTTCACCTCACAGAAGAAACCTTTAGAAGGCTGGGCGTGGTTGTATCCCCCCAGCATCAAGGCTCTCGGCATTGAAGTAGCGTCATTGTGGCGGCCAGTGGGGACCTGGGCATAAGCCGTATCATCTTACTTGCTGATAATCTAATCCTCGTCGTGCGTTTCCAGGTTGTGTACGGAGTATCGAGTACCGAGTACGCAAGTCGCAAACTTGGGGGCTCAAGGATTCTCATGAGGAGGCCATGCTGTCTGCTACACTTGGACTCTTGCAATGTATGTACTGTGGCAGCTCCTCCGCGATTCGGGATGCCATTGGGAATGAAGTCGCGGGATTGGGTTTGAAAGCACCACATGTCCTTCCTCATACCCATCACGGAGTACTGGACAGGCCATGTCGCCGAGTGACTCGGGGCCGGCTCAGCTTTTGACCACAGCAGTCAAGACAACTCTCTTCTGACTGTACAGTTGTGATACTAGGAAACTGTGCTGTGTGACCAGCAAAGGTTTTGGCCCTTTTCCGCAAACAGGCGTTCCTGCAGGTGCGCAGCCATGGAGCAACGTCCTACAAAGTACAGCACAATGCAATGCAGACATTCTGTTTCTTGCCGGTGAGCTACGTTGGCTGCCAGTCGGGCTGCTTTCGCAGGCCAGCACAAGGCTCCGCGGGCTGTGGCGTCCTTTCTGTGAGCGCCGAGCTGCTCCGATGAAGGCACCAAGGCCAGAATCCATCGTGTTTTCTGACAGAAAATGGGGTCGTACAGTAGCTCTTGGTTTACTGCAAAGTACTCCGAATGCGGCTGGTAGGGCACACTGTCACGATGAGCCCAAATGCCATGCTATAGTTGGCCACTGGCGAGATCATCAGACCTCTCCCCCTCGTTGAAAACAAAGGGAGCGCAACCGGCGCAGTTGTAGTAGTATCTGCAATAGGGCCAGGTGAATGCGCTCCAAGGATCCCTGGTAGCATTTGTCTCTTGCCGCCTGCATGGGCTGGCACCAGGAGGAGGCGCGCCGAGCGCGTATGTACTCCGTACGGAGTATGTATATGGATGGGACCGCAGTCGAGGGCAGTCGAAGGGCAGTCAAGAACTACCGACTCGGCAACCAAGGGCGGAACAACAGACCAGGTCTGATATTAGACGTAGGCCAGGGGGATTTGGCAACATGGCAACTGTTGTAGAGCACACGACCACCGCGATCAGGCCATCAAGTTGAGGGCGCCCTGAGTCAACCCGATCTCCAGCTGTCCTTGTCGAAAACTGGTTCAGAAGCGAAGCGAGATTTCGATGGCGCGAGACAGAAATCGCTGGAAAAAGAAAATCCGCATCGACAACGTCGAATAAGGCTCAGACACAATAATTACAATGTGTGACACAAATTCCAGGAACCATAGAGAAGCTTTTTTTTTTCTTTTAACCCTGGAAATTAACGCGAGGGCGAGGGCGAAAGAAGAGTCATCTTGGAGGCTTACGCGACGTGACGTGAAAGTCAAGGAAGGGATGAACATTTAAGATGACGCCCCGTCGGTAGCGGCTGGTCTTGGACGATTGTACGACAGCATTGTGAGACTGCACCGCGGTTATCTGCATCCGAAGCGAACCGATCTGATTCAGAAGCAAGGAGGATGGCTTGTGCCGGGTGGATTTTCGGCGAACGGTTCGCGGTTCTGAGACCTTTTGTGGACTTTTGATCCATTTCGGAAGCTCTTTGACCGGTCTGGCGCGTCGTTGGTATCGGCGCGGACGTCACCTGGTGCCGCGACAAAGGGATTGTCCTGTGCAAATGCTACGGAATGCCGCGTTCCTGGCTAGTTGAAGCTTAATCGTCCCCGTATCCCGGGTCAATAATTACCACTCCCTCGCCTCCCTCGAGGTGGATGCCTTGATCAAAGCCCCATTTCTGTTGGTAGGTCCCCCAAATACATACACACACGCTGTTAGTAGTAGTAATAGGTCAATACTACTAGTAAGTTCGCTCTCTACCAAGTCTATACCCGTTTCATTGCACCAACGCATTCGAAATCTCAATCGTCACTTTTCCTCCTTCCCGTCCGACAACCCGGACCGACTCCAGGTCCTGAACCACCCAGTCCGGCTCCGCGGCAACAACCTGCTCGACGGTATGGCTCGTCACTAACCCAATGACTTTGCATCCTGCCGCCTTGCCAGCCTTGATGCCCGCGGGGGCATCCTCCAAGACGAGGACTTGCCCGGGTCGGTCCTGGAGGCCCAACTTCTCCAGGCCTAGACGGTAGCAGGTAGGGTCTGGCTTGCCGTTCTGGACAGACTCGGCGGTGACGAGATGCTCTGGAATGGCAAGCTTTAGACGCTTCAGCCAGCCCGATACGAGGGGTTCCGTGCCGGACGTGACAACAGCCCATGGTGCAAACTGGGCGATGAGCGCGTCCAGGAGGCTTCTCGCGCCTGGGATTTCGGAGGCGAGGTCACCGTATAGAAGGGGCAGCTGTCCTTCTACCTCCCTCACGTCTGCCGAGTGTCAGTTTTTGCTTGATGCGCCGCCAAGGCATGATGAGAGGTGAAACGGGGAAAGCCGCGTACAATCCCAGGTGGCTTTATGCGGGGCGACAATCTTGAATATATCAATGCTCCTCCGCCCATGGGACGTCTTCAGAATCTCTTCTGGGTTGAGCCCGAGTTCCGTGCCGATTCTATGCAAGGTTAGTCTCACCGCTTCCTACTTGCCTCCGTCTCTCCGAGTACGGGCGAATGAATAGGGGACGTGAATTAGGGGGGGAGCTTACTTGCTCCATTGCTTTACAATGGCTTCCGTTGAGTCGATCAGGGTGCCGTCCATGTCGAAGAGGAAACCGTCGAAGGAAGCCTGCTGAGGCGGTTGGGTGTAGTTGTGTTGAGAACCCATTGCTGATGCTGTTGATGCTTGCTGTGGCGGCAATTAGACTGAATGTCTAGTCTAGGGAGATGCGGATGAAGCTCCGAGTAAGTGCTGTGACTGTATATATAAGATCAATCTTTGTCCGTCTCACGGTCCAGCGCTTTCCTTTAAATGTCACGGCGGAGGTCAGAGCGAGTCGCCGAGGCTCGACTTCACCGTATCGGCCCCTGTGTGGAAAAAGTCCGCCCATGGCCGGAGTCTCCACTCGGAAGGTCCGCTGGCGAGGCTGTGCGGTGCGCGGGACTTCCGCTCGGGGTTAGGCGCGGCTTGCTTTTGGGCTACCCTGTATTAGACGTCGGCGTGAATATACTACGGAGTACTCGAGTAGGTACTTGAAAACAGGGAGTGTGGCATGTTTGCCGAGCTCATGATGATTTACGAGAGCCGGCCGTTTTCCATGGGACTCGTAGAATCAAACGTGATGAATGGCCATGGTGGTGAGCGTGAGAGAAGAGTGCGTCTTGAAGTCGTACATGTCTTGGGGGCCCATTGGACCCCACCCCAAATGTCACGCTCCTCGGCGATGCGCCTCGGTCACGGCGATGAACCGTTGACCCCTCAGCGGGCTCCTAGTCGAGCCCAACGCTACCTACCCCACGTTGATGCGCCAACTCGACCTGCTTGTCCAAGAGAATAGCCTCAACCCAGAATCATCAGGTCCTGGATCCTGGGTTGTCTCGGGCGTCATCACCACCCAGCAGCTTTCACACCGGGGGGGCCCCGAGCAAACGGTTGTCCTGTCCGACCTGCCTCCTCGCCAGGCACGACACGCCTCGCACGCCAGAAAAAGCTACAATACCGCCTGACCCAACCCGGCGACGATGGGCTCACAAAGCAAAGACCAGAAGGAACTGACGGTGCTCGTCACCGGATTCGGCGTACGTCACCCCCTTTGCCAGTTCTGGTGGCGAATCCCAAGCCAGCTGACTACCGCACACACGCCGGGAACTGACTGACTGACTGACTCACTTACGCGCGCGCGACAGCCCTTCCGGGAGCAATACCCCGTCAACCCGTCGTGGGAAATCGCCAAAGACCTCCCGTCGCACCTCGCGCCGCTCCGGGCCAAGGACGCCGGCTCCCGAGACGCCCCCGAGACGCCGCCCGTCCGCATCATCGTCCACCCGGAGCCCATCCGCGTCAACTACAGCGTGGTACGGGCCCTGGTGCCCTCCTTCTGGGACGCGGCGCACGAGGGCCGCGCCATCGACATAGCCGTGCACATTGGCATGGCGGGCCCGCGGCCCTTCTACCAGCTCGAGCGCCGGGCGCACCGGCGGGGGTACCGGTCTCTCGACGTGGACAACGAGCTGCCGGCCGAGGGGGCCGAGGGGCGGCCCGACGACGAGGCCTGGATCTGGCACGGCCTGCCGGACGAGATACTAACGGACGTGGACGTCGACGACGTCTACAACCGGTGGCGGGGACATAGCTCGGTACGTTGTTTTTACTTTGGTGCTTTTTTGTCGCGTTTGGGGACTGACTGACGGGTTTGGCAGAAGGACATGGACCTGCGCGTGTCCGAGGACCCCGGGCGCTATCTGTGCGACTTCATCTATTACTCGTCCCTGGCGCACCTGTGGAAGGCGCAGCGCCCGCGCAAGGTTGTCTTCTTGCACGTCCCGTCCGACGCGTCGGGCGAGTTTGTCGCGAGGGGCCGCGAGCTGGCGGTGAATTTGATCAGGGCGCTGGCGGAGAGCGAGACGGCCGCTAGGGAGAAGGCGCTGCGGGATGCGGCAGCTGGTGCGGACAAGTCCTGAGTATTGAAGATGGTTTATTTGGGGAACCGTGGAGAAGTTGAAGTTGAAGTTGCGGGTTGGTGCATTTTTTTTTTGTTCTTCAGGGCGCTGGGACTTAGCATGGCGGGGCGGCGGGAAGCATTTCACTAGCAGGACTTTTTTTATTTTGATTATGCCGCTTGGGCACATGCTTGAACGGGATGCATCCAGAGGATTTCAGTGACGCTTTCATTCGGTGACCATTTGTTGGACTTGTGTTTCTGGCAGGGGCTGAATTTCGCCGGCTCGCGGGGCTGGTGGTAGTTCCCCGAATCCACGGGCTGTAGTTACGTGACTGAACCTTTTGGAACATGTAAATTCGCGGTAACTTATGTCGAGCTCGTACGGCCGTCGGCCCTCTTACACGCCAAGGGCCGCCTCCGCCCCCGGAATCGGCGAAAGAGCGGCCCACTAGCCCTCTGTAGGAATCGGCGACCTCCCCGGCCCCCCGGGGAAGCCACATCGCCGAAGGGGGGGAAAAACCAGCCGAGCCGGCTGTCCCGACGGCCGCCCGTGTATAAAATACCAGACCCCCTCCCCGACCTTGTGTGTTTCCTGTCCTCGCCATCGCACCACGTGCAGTCAATACAATTACCCACTACATTGATATCAGATACAACATGTGCCGAAAAGCTACCTGCGATACATGCAGTAAGTGTTGCCGCTGACTGCGTTTTGTTTTCATCACGTTGACGGACTCTTTTTTTTTTTTCTTAGAAAAAACCACCTGGTGGGGGTGCGGGAACCATGTGCCCGCCGTGATGGATGGCGTCCCCGCCGACGAGAGGTGCACGTGTGAGCCGAGGGTCGAGAGGGACGGCAAGGAGTATCCGCCGATGGGGAGGCAGGCTTCGTGACTCGTGACGAGGCTGGCGGCGGTGTGGTTGTGGACGAGGGGGAAGAGGGCGGCGTGGTCGGCGGAGCGGGTTGTGGAGGAGGATTTGGGCTGACTTGGGTTTGCTGGCGAGGGAGTTGACGGTGTTGCGGGTGGTTGAGGGGCTTTTTTCGGCGAGTACGGGAGGCTGCTGGTGTTTTATACGATTGGAAGTATGACCTTGTGGATGCGTGTTGGTTGGTCGTGTTAGGGAGTCGGCTTGCGTGCATTGACGGGTGTTGGGAGAATGAAGCAACTTAGTGGTCATGTTGGAGGGAGAATGAAATACGATTGTTGTATACTTCTGTGCTTCAAAGCGAATGCTTGGCTTGGGATACGCACGAGACTTTGGTTACACGGCAGTTGGATGGACAACCAGCCTGATTCTGTGCCGCACTTGTAACAACCTGCTCCGGAAACACGTAATCAAAGACACATTCACACCTGGATACGCATATTCTCATTGACGGACAAGTATATGGTATTGGACACTGCGGCGGTTCCGAATGAAACGCGAGCTCTTCTCGCAGAGTTGCTTGAGTCACAACCACACGATCCATGTCATCTCCTCCTGGCACCACCAGCACCGCCGGTATCCCCCCTTTCCGCCAAGCTGACAACCTCCTGGATGCCCGCAGCCTCCTGCTCCTCCTCCAGGGCGGTAATTTCCTCCCTGCAGTCCCACCACTTCTCCTCGCTGAGCTCAAACGCCTTGGCCTTGATCTCCTTGATGGTCAGCGTCTCGGGCTGAATATTCTTCCAGCGGAGACTAGTCATGAGGATTTCCTGCCACTCGGCGGTTGTGCGTACAAAGAACTCGCGACGAGACTCAAATGGCTGCCATGCCTTGTTAGTATCATTGCGTCTGGATCTGGATCGGCGCGGGGAAACAAGAATAAAATGGATGCGGAGCTTACTCTAGGGTGAGGCAGACCATCGTCCACGGATGTTGCCGTTGTTTCCGTATCGTCTTCTTCGGGCGGAGCAGATGTTGTTTCGGAGGCGGTATCCGACACGACATCTTGCTTTTTGCGCTTACTGGGCGTATGCAGCTGTTCAGGCTCATCATCCTCGTCCTCATCCTCGTCCTCCTCGTCTTCTTCGTCATCCTCATCCTCGTCGTCGTCCTCATCCTCGGATTCCTGCCCAGGGTCAGCAAATACATTAACAGACAATACTGCACGGTGACGACTCACGATCCAATCCTCTACCGGGCGGTTGAAAATCTCTTTGCATCCATCGAGTTTGCTCAAATCAATGGCATATAAATCATCAAATGTGAATTCGCGATCGCCCTTTTCGAATGTCCCGCCATATATATAGAGAACGTCATCCTGCACAGCCATCTGCGCATTGAACCGAACATGGGGCGGCTCCATTGTCACCGGCATCTCTCTGGCTGGCTTCTCGTCCTCCTCCGGCTCCTCTTCCTTCTTATCAATCTCGATTCCATCAACGTCATCCAGAGAAGCACCCGTTTCGAGGGCAGCCAACTGCTTCAGCAGCTCCTCTTCATTGGCCTGCGCGCGGCCACGACGGCCTACACGCGGCTGTTCGGGAGCAGCTCTCTTTTGCTGACGAGGCTTGCGGAGACCCAGAGGCATGAACCTATTGCGTTCAATATTCCAGGCAAAAAGCTGGTTGAAGAATTCGCTATCCATGCCCTCTTCACTAGCTTCAACGTCGTGTACGCCGCCGAATAGGATGCCTCGTCCCTTGTGGAAAGTCATGGTGGCTCCCGCGCGAGACGGGTTGGGAGGGTTGGCCGGCTTCTTTCTCCGTTCCCACCGCATTGTTGGAAGCGTGTTGGAGTTGGCATCAGCGGGAGGTAGCGCCATTCTCAGGAAGAAGCAGTCGTCGTGGACTTTGGGAATCAAGACATTCTTCTGTCCCTGGCTCTGAGATTTCCCCGCCTTCTTCTTCAGATTCACCGTCGCCTTTACACGCGAGTAGCCACCGTAGAGCACGGCGCCCGAATCGCACGGCAGCAAAGAAAACGAAGATCGAGCATCCGGCTTGAGCTGTGCCTGAGGCAGCGCGGGACAGTGCCACACAAAGTTGACCGTGTCGAAAATCCACAAATCTGCCAAATACCTGGTCTGGTTGGACGTGTCCTGGAAGCCGCCAAACAAAATAATGTACTGCTTCCAGTACGTCATGCGATGACCGCTCCGCGCGGGTGGACTCTTATCCTTGCCCTTGACCTCGATCTTGGTCCATTCCCTGGTGGCGGGCTCCAGCCTCCAAAAGTCAGAGTAATGGTGGAAAGTGCCCTGCTTGGGCGACGAGAACTCGCCGCCAAAGAGGTAGACGTGGTTGGGATTCGAGGCACGAGTCCAGGCATGTCCCGAGCGAGGCAACGGGGCATTCGGTGAGGTGACGCAGCGCCACTCATCCCGATGGATGTTGTAGATGTGCAGGTCATTGTAGAACTGTGCCAGAGAGCCGTTGAAGTATTCACCGCCAAACAAGAGGAGGTTGTTTGCATCCGTGGGCGAAGCCATCAGTGTGGAAGCGGCCCTTGGTCGAGGCGGGCCATGACACACGGTTTCTGTGATCTTGAGGAATTGCTCCTGCTGGCGACGGTACTCTTCAAGGACGGCATCAAGATCGACATCTTCGGCGTCACTGCCCTCAATCTTGGCAGCTTTTGTCTTGGCCTTTTTCTCCCCTTTGCTGGCTTGTTTGGCTGCCTTTTCAGCCTACGCATGTATGTGGGTGGTCAGTAAAAAGGCATGCGAAGAAGGGGAAAAAAACTTTTTTTGTGCATCTCTCACGATCCTTGATGAGGGGCATGGAGGGGGGCAAGGACGAGCAAAGACACGGGAACGGGTACCTTTTTGGCTTTTTTGGCGTCTGAATTCTTCTTTTTATCCTTGGCCATGATGGGGAATTATGCAGTGCTTCAAATCAAATCAAGTGGGCGGGCAATGAAGCAACCAAGCCGTTGCCTCGGGCATCACTGGATGGTGGTGAGCAACAAACCGTCAACTTTTGAATCCGCTGCATTGCATTGGTCGACGTTGATGTGGATTGTGGTCTTCGGTCTGGTACGTCAAGCAGTACTTGTGGTGGTACCTATTGACAGGTAACCACACCATCGCCCTACCAAGCCATCATTTCAAAATTTCATCATTTTCGGCATCTCAAGTGTATACTTTACCAAGCATTGTTTGGATTTCCTTGTCGTAGTTTGGGCACGATTTGTCTTTGAAATTACCTCGCCCAGTCGGCTATCTACTAGGGAATACCTCAGTACCTAGGAGTTGGTTGCATTGCATTATCTCTCCGGGTCGCACACTGAACATCAAGGTGGGGGCCACATGCAGCCTATCGCCAGTCTTGACGACGGACATGGAATACCTTGAACCCGTGCTTCACCCAATCGGAAAACACCTCAAAGCCTCTCAAAAGACCAAGTCGCATCGTTAAGTAATTGAACAGATTAGATCGTCGCCGTTTGAAGAAGCCCTCTCTGCCCGTCTATTCCGAAATGCACAGTCTTCGCCGTTATGACCGTCACGACTCACCACCACCAAGATGGAATACCCCCAAGTTTAGCTTCCAGTCCACCTTCCCTTCTAGAAACATCTCACCCCAGCCCTCGCGGAGACTCTCACAGACAGCCCGCAACCCTCTGACATGCTTTTCTTAGCGAGAGCCGGCATCCATGTCGTTTTAAAGTTGGTGGCCAACGACGCAGAATGGCGCTTCCTCTCTGTGACGCAAACCGAAACACACACGAGATGTGACGACCACGGGAGCTACAACCGTGAATTGGCCGGCAAGACGATGGTTGTCAACCCGTAGGCCGCATACGGTCGGTACGCATCAGGAAAAATTGTCCGGCCTGGTTACGTATGAATACCGATCCTGGGACCCCTGAGGCGCTGAATGCTGTGCAAAATAAGGCTGATGACGACAATCTGGAAGCAACATAGCTATGAGAAAGCGAGGCGATGCAGAATGAGCTGAGACACGTCCCTGTGGACAAGACGCCCGAACCAAATTTTGCATGTTTTGGATGAACGCACCGCCTTCGCCTTGGCTGAGCAGATTACGAAGCCGGATGAGTGGAGGGATGAACAGCAAAGCCACGCCACTACTATCGAGCCAAGATTGAACCATGTGTGATACATCGCCATGAATCAACAGATGACAAGCCGTGCATTGACAAACGTAGCTTACATGGGCCATGTACAGTGGGTGGTGTAACTACATTCTGGAGCCAAGGTACAGGACCCCTTCTTCTTTAGGTTTGGATGCTGCGCTCGGGCTCTGCAGCCCATTGAACTGCAAGGTTCGCCTGTCTAATAACCGTAGCGGCGCGGCTCGCCGCCAACTCGGAGAGACGTCCGTTATCATTGGGAACTTCTGTTAGTCTGAGTTGGACCTGGATGCACTTTGTAGACACCTTCCCAAAGCATATAAGTCGAGCAGCGTCCCGCCCCAGACGCCTTTGAATGTCAGAGTGCGCAACAATCAGCCACTGCAGCTCCTCCAAAAATGATCTTCTCGACTGTTTTCAAGCTAAGCTTGGGCGTGTGCTCATTGCTTCCCGCCCCGGGGGTTGTCTCGGCTACCGTCAGACGGGATGACTTTCCGCCCCTTCTCGACGCAACTCTAGATGAGCTTCGCCATGGTCTGGACGCAGGCCGCTTCACCAGTGTTGACCTTACAAAGGCCTACATAGCCAGAATCCAAGAGGTCGCCGATGAATTGCACGCCGTCAACGAGATCAACCCTGATGCATTGTCCATTGCCGCCCGCATGGACGCGGCGCGCAAGAACAAGACGGCTTGCAGCCGTGGACCTCTTTACGGCATCCCCGTTCTTATCAAGGACAACATCGCTACCCTGGATAAGATGAACAACACGGCCGGGTCGTTTGCTCTTGTTGGTGCGCAGCCAAAGGAAGATAGCACGATAGCCGCCAAGCTCCGAAAGGCGGGTGTCATTATTCTCGGCAAAGCAAACTTGTCGCAGTGGGCCAACTGGCGAAGCTCAAACACAAGTAGTGGGTGGTCTGCCTATGGAGGCCAGACAAAGGGTGCTTATCTTCGCGACCAGGATCCCTCGGGGTCTTCGTCTGGAAGTGGTGTTTCGTCGTCCATTGGGTTGGCCTGGGCGGCGCTGGGAACCGAGACAGATGGTTCCATTATTTCACCTTCCAATGTCAATAACATTGTGGGCATCAAGCCTTCTGTCGGCCTTACCTCTAGGTACCTGGTTGTTCCCATCTCCTCGCATCAAGACACTGTTGGGCCCATGGCCAGGACAGTCAAGGACGCCGCGTACCTCCTTTCCGCCATTGCTGGCGCAGACAAGAATGACAACTACACATCGGCTATCCCTTTCAAAGAAAGGCTGCCTGACTATGTCGCAGCTTGTAAGGATGACGGCTTGAGCGGCAAGAGGATTGGCGTACCTCGCGGTTTGTTGACGCCGTCACAAGACACATCCCCTCTCTTGCAGGCATTCGAAAAAGCGCTGGGAGTTCTTAGGTCCGGAAATGCAACCATTGTTGACGACGTCGAAATCCCTGGCAGTGAAAAGATTGGAAAATTCATTGAGCCTATCCTGGGCGCTGATATGCTCACAGATGTTGCTTCACACTACTTCAACCATCTCAAGACCAATCCTTATAACATCACCACTTTGAAGCAGCTGCAAAGTTTCACACAAAAGTTTCCCAAGGAAGAATGGCCCGTTAGGGATACCCAACTCTGGCAAGATGCCATTGACAGAGGATTCGATAACACATCCCCCGAATTCTGGAGTATGTACACGGAGCAGTTGGAGTTTGCTGGGCCACAAGGAATCCTTGGTGCTCTGAAGAACAATTCGCTGGATGCCATTGTTCTTCCTAGCGAAATGCTCAACTCCCTTCCGGCCATTGTCGGCAGCCCTATCATTACCGTGCCACTAGGCAAACGGCCTGACGACTGGCCTGAGAGCAAAAATGGATTTGGAAATCTCATCGACGATGGGCCAAATTTGCCATTTGGTATAGCCTTTGCTGGAGATCTGTTCAGCGAGGAGAAGTTGATTGAGATTGCGTATGCGTTTGAGCAAAAAACCAAAGTTCGGGGCACTATTGGGCCTCTTGTGAAACCAAAGACTGAACTGCGGGATGTGGTTGGGACAGGGAGTTGATCCTGGCACACTAAATAAGAGGGTCGGTATATTTGTCACTTTCCAGAACGAGTGCATTTGGCAGGGAAATACGAATCTTCCACGTATTTGTCACTACATCTGAACGAATGGTTATCGAAAGGTCCTGGTAGCACTACTCCCTGACATGTCAATGATGTTTCCAAATGAAGTTTGAGCCGCTTGGAATAGTAGGTCCACACTGGATGCACTTACCAATCATGCTCTGCAAGGCTAATAGAGAGTTCCTTGCATTGCAGCTTATATACTATGTGAAGCATAATCGTGGATGACATATTCATGTGATGCAGCCAAGGTGCAGGCTTGCGAGAAAGCGCTCCAGGAGTGACTGCGACTCGCGTATTGACCTCCTGAGGAGCATGCCGGTGGCTTTTCTTGTAATTCTCATGTGACGCTCCCACACTATACCGTATATTATCATCCTTGGGCCTCACATCTCGGAATGTACGCCACCAAAGCTTTGCTGGCGCCCTCCATGCAATACTGCACAGCATCCACCTTCCTGTCCTCTGGTGCCAGCTTTGCAATCTGCCGAATGTCACTCGTCCGTGGCAGATACAATACGTGATCCATGCTCCTATATGACGAATGCAACTTATCCAAGTTGTACGGTTGCATGTTGCTCAGGTCAAACACCTCGTCTGTCCTGTATCCTGGGCCTCCCCACGGCGGGCTTGAAAACAGCACCGTCTTGCTCACATCGACCCTCAGGCCTGGATGAAGTTCCTCAGGCCGATTGTTTAAAAGCTCCAGGTACTCAAAACTATCTGCATGAACCCAGGTGATTATTGAAGGGTCTACCTCGTAGAGCTCTGCGTTGTTCTGGGCGCATGCCAAGGTTGAGGCGTCACGTTCGACAGCGATGATTCGCTTCCAGCGGTTGGTGAGCGCGAAGGCGATAGTATTGCCTCCGGCGCCAGCAAAAGCATCTATGAGGGTGTCTTTTGAGGCGTCTGTAGCTGACAATTCGCTAGCGATTTGACTTGCGGCCATTAGGATGCAACTATCAAGGCAAGAAGTCGTGATATGGGTACATACTTTGCTACTGGTTCTGGAGTGACACCAAACCAGGCGTCGTCTGTGAGGTATACGCCTTCGTCGTACCAGGAAAATATGGAATATCTCTGTGAAAAGTATCTGTAGCAAAGGTTTAGTATGTAAACGTCGTTGCTGATGGTGTGGTGAGCGCCTCGCACTTTTGAATATCCCATGGCACCTGATGCCTGCCCTCGTAGTGTTTGCACTCGTCGGTAAGGGGAAACTTGTCGGCTGGCTCCAAGACATAGCTTGTTGCAATTTCAGGGACCTTGGCGGCGGCCATATCGACTTGCTTGCATGAAAGCCTGTCTGCGCACAAACTATACAGAGATCAATTTTTGTCGTGTCTCTTCTTCTCAAGATGTCGGTTGAAAATATATTAGTAGTGAGAGTGAGTGTTGAAAGTCACAGACGCCGTCGACGAAAGGAAAAAGAAAAGTGGACCGCCCAGCTACACCACCAGCGCCCCGCGCTAGCAACTGTGGCGCTGACCTCCCGCCTGCAAGGCTGCAATGGGACAGCTTGCGATAGCTTCAGACGACACCTGGACATCTGACCAAAGTCACTCGCCCCGAGATCACACCCAGCCTCCCAAACACCCTCAAATTCGAACTTGCCAGCCAATAAACCACTCCAGGAATATTGAATGAGGTTGTTCACGATACAGCAATAATGTTCAACGCCCTGAATCGGTTCATGTCCCGTCTGGACGGCGACGTGCCCCAGCGACGCAATGAGCAGGGATCCTTTGGTTTCCAGGTCCTGAGAAACACAAACCTACAGCTGGCGATCGAACCATGGTTTGACTTTATCGTCGGGATCAACGGACGGCCAATTGTGCGATCAAAGCCCGTTCCAAAACATGAATATCAAGCCGCATAGCTGACGCTGTCCCGTTGATATTGTAGGAAGACCCTAACCCAGCGCTCTTCGCACAAGAAATCCGAAACTGCGCCGGTGGCACAGTCTCCCTCGGTCTATGGAATGCAAAGGTATACGAGTCTACCATCATATTCGCTGAAGGATGGCGCCGTCAAAACTAACCTGGAGATCATAGGGCCAACGGACGCGAGAAATGCACATCCATGTGCCCCCCGATACCGCATCCCTCGGCCTTACCCTCCAATATTCACCAATTGCTTTAGCCGCCAACATCTGGCACGTACTAGACGTTGCGGCCAGGTCGCCCGCCGACCAGGGCGGCCTCCTCCCGTACAGCGACTACATACTGGGCAGCCCTGAAGGACCGTTACATGGCGAGAGTGCCTTGGGCGAGCTTGTGGAGGATCATATTGGCCGGCCGCTGCGACTTTTCGTGTACAATAACGAATACAACGTCACGAGAGAGGTCACAATACATCCTAGCCGAGGCTGGGGCGGCGAGGGCGCCCTAGGTTGTGTGCTGGGCTACGGCGCGTTGCACCGTCTGCCTGCGCCGTTGAGCGAGCCCGTGAGCGCGCCGGGGGAGACCATGTTTGACGGTGCCGTCAATGAGAAGGCCGGCGAGGCTGGGTTCGTTTCTGCAGGCGCAGGCTCTGTACCACCACCTGCTGCCGCAGCCTCAACTGGTGGTGAATATCTGGTGCCCGCGCAAATGGTTGGGTCTGATCCCATGAGTGCACCACCGCGTTCGGCGGCCAAGAAAAAGGACAGACATCATCCCGCCAACAACAACTTCATGGACGATTACTTCAAGGAGCAAGAAAAGAAGAGCCGAGAGCTGGACAATGCTCCGTCTGGTAAAGGGTCACCGGCACCACCGCCACCCAGGGCAGGGGGGCCTCCAAAAGCTGCAACTCCCGTACAAGAAGCAGCCGAATAGATAGTCACGAAGTAAATGCGATAAATGATTCCCTAATTGACGTTGGCTTGGCTTTTTTGAGTTTCTGTCCACTTGATCTCTATTCCCACCCTGAATCTTGTAATGCTCCCATATGAAGAAAAAAAACAGACTATGCATATCATACACCATGCGACTGCGCATCTTCGGTACTCTATTCTTGTTTAACGCCCTCAGTTGATAAAGTTGACACAGAAGAAGTGCAGGATGAGGCTGCAAACAACAAAATCGGCAAATGCCCTGTAAACCCAACCCGTCAGCAACCCCAATCAGTCACATCACAAGTTGCTCGCAGACCACACATACCTCTCGGGAGAAACAGACGGGAAATCGCTCTTATTCGCCGCAGTCGTCTGTATCCGCAGTGACACTACCCCATCGTCAGCATCCCCCAGCCATCACGGGTGGTACAAGGGAAGAAAACGTACCCGTCAAAACAAACTGACCAACCGAAGCACAGAAGCCCGACAGAAAAGCATTAAACGGCTACCCTCAGGCGTCAGCACATACGTCCCGTATCGGTCTCTGTCCAAGGCTATAAAGAAACGCACATAGTTGCCCGCGAGGACGCAGTACACAAACTGCAGCCCGCCGACGGCAATCAAAAAGAGCAAGAACACATCAATCAGCTTCGTCCGCTGTGGTGTCTCCTTCATGTAGTACTGGTAGATGTTGAGCAGGACCTCGTCCCAGTTGGCGCGGCCGCCTTTGTGAGTCGTTTTGGCTGGGAGGGAGGAAACTGCTGGCGCGGCGGGCGCCTCCTGGACGGGGACGGCGGCCGGGGACGGCGTGGCGACACGGTCGCGGGTGTTCTTCTTGGGAGCCATTGTGGACTATGGTTATCGGGGGGGGAGGCGGCTTCAATGGCGAAGAAAGAAGTTCGTAGAGGAAAGCTTTTGGAGGGATGGTTTACTATGGTGGCAGGTGTCGGATTTGGAGACTTTGGACAGGTAAGCTTCAAGGAGAGCGGGGCGCTGATTGGCTGGAGGAGCTGGGCCAGATCTGGGGGTGGTGCGACCCGCTGATGTCGTCAATTCCTCCGAGGCACCGAAGTGGTTCGGATGCAACTTGGTTCTGTTCATTGAACATATTCGTGCCCCTAGCGAGACGTAGTTTGTCCAAGGTGCACATAAGACTGCAGATACTATTCGCCTATTCCAAATTTTTAATAACGATGGTATGTATTTCCCCTTTGCTAAACCGGCAATCAACCGTGGTAGCTGGGCTCAGCAACTCACGCTCCGCAGCCTCAACTCGAAACCTCATCCTACGCTCTTGCCGCGCTCACTGCCGGCGGCGGTATAATGGGCTACGTCCGCACAAGATCCATGCCCTCAATCATAGCAGGAACCGCTGTCGGTGTCCTCTGTACGCTGTCTCCCGCTCCCGCCGCAGCCGCCTGCGCCTCGCACCGAGTAGTTCACGCAAGCTAACCATGATGTAGACGGACTTGGTGGCTACCGCATCCAGAACCAGCAGCCCTACGGCGTCGAGTTGAGTCTCTTGGCCTCAGTTGTTCTCGGAGGATCCGCCATTCCCCGCGCAATTCGCCTCCGAAAGCCCGTCCCGGTGCTGCTTAGTGTTCTGTCAGTCTTTGGTCTCTTTACCTTTGGCCGGGCGTACCAACAAAAGTTGTAAAAGCCACAGCGTAGCCCGATGCATATATGGAACAGTATAGGAATATTCTCAGCTCGAAAATAATCATGAAAATTGAGTAGTATCATGTCACGTTGATCCTTTGTAGTGTACAAATGCCCCTCTCACTCAATGGACCTCTTTCTTCGTCGTGTTTCCTCTAACGCCCGTATGAAAGTACAATTTTTGTACACAATCACCTTGCGGTAGATTGCCGATCGTGTGGTAAGTTTCCCGTTCGCTCGCCCACGCCACGTCAACCATGGCCATCTAGAGACCCAAGGCCTTCTGCTCCTCCTTGATCCTGTCGCGCTTCGCCCTCGCCGCCGCCCTGTTCTCCGCTTGTAGCTTTCCCCGCTCGAGTCGTAGACACTGGTTCACTTTGTCCTTGACGTCGTTGCACCCGCCGGTGGCTTTGTGCATGAAGCCTCTGTTGTGGCATTCTTCGAGGGCGGCGATGATTTCTTCGCACGCTTGGTCGGTCACCTGTTAGCTCATATATATATACTGTTGAGGAACCCCGTTTGCGAGAGGTGCGTACCTAATGCGTTCTTGGTATGCAGATGCGGGTGCATTTTAGCCTGGGATTATGGCGCTGAAGGGGAAGTGAATTGCTTGGAATCGATTCCCAGGACGAGATTAGATTGGGACGTCGACTTTTCGAGTGGTCGCCAGTGCCGCCGGGCCAACCAGAGACCTAGAATTTAGGTGGGCTTCCAAAGTCATCCACCTGGTGGGATGAAAGTCAAGCTGCCAGCATCAAACCACAACACCATCTTGTGCCTCACGCATCAACGCGATAAATACGGACAGGACCCCGAGGGGGCAAAGAGCTGAGGGGAACGGCCGCATTGGGATCATAAGCCAGCTACTAGCACCATGTCTGCGTCAACGGCCGCGGCGCCGGAGGGAAAGAGGCAACAAGGTATGTCGAAAGCGTCTAGTATTCTGCCCCTCCTTCTGTTGGCCTCCTCGCAGCTCATTCTGAAGTAGATCTTCAAACGACATACTCAAATTACAAGAACACTCTGCAGCAAATAGCGCAAAAGATTGGAGATATCGAGCAAGAAGCTGAGGAGCATAAGTAAGTCCCCTTTCAGTGATACCTGGTCGAATATCCCTACGCTTCGTCGCTGTCGCTGCCGCGCTCACGCGAACAATTGGCCCCCCTGGTCTTCACACGCGAAGCACCGATATTTCTCCCCCGGTTTTTATCTCACCGCTTCAGTTTTCATCACACCGCTTACAATTTTTGGCTTGCAAATAAACAGGTTGGTTTTGGAAACATTGGAGCCTTTATCGGAGGATCGCAAGTGCTTCCGACTCATTAATGGCGTTCTCGTAGAGAGAACCGTCAAGGATGTAGTCCCAGCTTTGAAAACCAATCAAGAAGGACTGAAGAAGGTTTTGGATGACTTGGTGAAGCAATATAAGACGAAACAGGATGAACTGGATAAGTGGAAGGTATATGCCACAACCAACACCTGTCCTCTCGATGCTGGTACAAGCGGTTTACTGACGAGATATCACAGAAGAAGAATAACGTGCAAGTAGTCCAGCAATGAGAAGGCAAAGAGAAGGTCCATGCTTCATAGGAAATAGATAGTCTTTCTCAACAGCAGGAACCTGAATGATGTACGGGGATTGGGGCAAGATTGTCACGTCTTGACTTTGGCCATTGGTCATTTCTCCGTGAACAAGCCATCTGCTGGAACATGTCACTTTCAGGCTAGTATGGCTTTCTTTACCCGCGGCTTTTCCTTTCATTAGCGCATGATGGGTGAGCCAACACTCACCCTTGCGTTGCTGGAACGAACACATTCTAGCTGCATATCATGTTCAAAACGTGACCGGAAGCTGCAGGAAACATACCCGTGATGGTGTGATGCCGCCGGTTAGAGTTGCCATCGTTGCGTGAATTTGGCCTGCGCGGCACTGGCCTTTCGCTGCCCAACTGGTCTATGAATTTTTTTCCCTCAGCTCATGTTAAAGATCTTTTGTGGCGCACAATCCAACCAACACTGGTGGAAAGCAACTTCGGAAAAACTTTTGCAAAACTTTTTTCCAACTTGATCCTTGCCAAACATCAATAGTCAGTGTGCATGCCCTTCGTTGTGTTGCCTACTTCTTGTAATTTGATCCTGAGAGTCAAAACCCGTGACCGAAGATGTGAATACCCGGCATCCATGGAGACAGCCCACCCACCACCATTTCCAGATTGTACTGTTGGCAATGCCACGTCATTCGGAAAAGATTCTCACGTTGAGAAAACAAATGCAATAATAACCAGATATGTTATCTTCTGTGATGCGATTCCCTTACTAATGTCCAATCCAGTACAAGGAGGATGATAGTAGACGCGGAATAATAGCTTCGCGTTTCAGAAGAAGAAAAATATATGCATACTTCATGCCTAAACATGACATGTCCTTCCATTCTGTGTATGACACATTTCAGAACACGATTGCAGCTGCCCACGATAAAGATGCAGTAAGCCTCGCAACCCATGGCTACCTTGAATATAGTTTCCTCGGACTTGGCGTGGCCATGGGCGATTTTGCCATGGCCCCCGTATCCTTGCCAGCCACCCTCTCTACTTCTCGAAGCGGCAGTTGGTTCCGTAAGCTCGGTGAGTGGTCGCTCTTGAAACAAGACACTTGTAAAGAGCGCCAAGGCGATTCGAGCGGCAGAGAAGAGCGCCGCCAATGCTTGGTGATGCCTTGAAAAGGTTGAGCAGACGGCCGCATCATCACGTCACCGTCCAGATCGGTTTCCAAGCGATGTTGGGGTTGTTCCAAGTCGAGAACACCGTAGCCATGACCACGGAACTGATGAAGGATTTTGGGTTCCATGCAGCTAGACTATCCGCATATGCAGTAGAGCCTTGGTAAATGGGATTGTGGTGATCAGATGTCGGAGGTGTCGTTATCCGTATGCGAGTGTCGGCATTTACATGATGGGTGTGAGGGGAACGGTTCCGATATGAATGTCTTCCGTCCGTGTCAGATACAGTCCATCATCATAATTTGGCTAGTGTGGAAAAAAACATTTGACTGGCTAAACCTGAAAATTTGCAGCCAAGGGCGTAATATTTTTGACGAGATTCAAACATGATGATCGTCCTGTCGGAGATGGCTTGTATGCACAGTCTTTCTGCCTTGGGGGCTCGAGGCAGGAAGCCTGGATTGTACATGATATAGCCTTATACCTTTGGCCCAGTCGGAAGGTATGGCTGGAAGTGCTGCCCAACCATTGGGTGTATTGGCGATTTGGCCGCAGAATGGGCCTTTGGGTCTGTATTTAGGCTACGGTTCCTGAACGGCTCCGACGCTCTGGGCATCGACTGATTGGCAGAAGTAGTGGTTGGGGTAGTGGTGAGGGCAAACGCAGGTCAGCCTGATACGTAGTCTGACAGGAAGATCTGTTCCCCCATGACGTTTGACTCTGGTCCAACTACCTGGGTATGCATGAAGTCAGCAGTGATGCGAAAATGTGCATTTATTGTAACTAGATGCTGTGTTGGATGCGGCATGGTGTCAGACTTTCCATGGATCAAGCCAGGGGGGGCCCAAGAGATGTTTTCTCTTCTTGACCGGTCTTCCTGCCGACTTCACTTGCCATGGAGTGATGCAATAACTAACCCTTGTAGGTTCGGGTATCATGCGCATGGCCTGAAGCACACCGCCATGAGTAGGAGCAAGTTCGTTGACCCCTGTGCTCGATGCAGGCTGGCGAAGAGGAATGTAATTATTATGGAGCTGTTTGATCACGGCACAGATGTTGTCGCCGATTGACGTTGGAAGTGAAGTAGGTCTGGCAGCTCGAGCCCGCAGTTACCTGGGTACTCACGAGCAGAGAGATGCATGCACCCTCCTACTTGTAGGTTGGAACCTTGGAGGTGACGATACTTGTTGAGTGGCATTGCGTACGGAGTACTTGTCTTGGATATGGTGGCGGGGCGGCAGGAGAAGTACCGATGTGTGAGCGTGATTCCAGGTACGGAAACTACTTGCTTAGACTATGCCGGAAACAGCTTAGAGCGTGCCAAGCCAGCGTGCTGCGTCTTATCGATAATGACAGCGGTCGACTGTTGCAAAGACGAGCGAACGGCGGGTCTCTCGTTGCAGGTGAGCCAGGGCCAGCCGGAGGCAGCAGTGGCAAGACAGCCAGGCATTGAACGAGGACTCTGGAGACAGAGTACGAAGGATGGAGTAGTAGGCAAAGAGTGAACATTGAAGTCTGGTCGCACGTCTAGAGCTGGGGCGGGGCACAGCTAGACCGGCGAGGTTTTGGCCCCGCTAGTTACCTGGTAGCTGTGCTTGGTAGCAATGAGCTGCAGTCCACCAGTATTGAAGTCGATCCCAGTCCCCGCAACTAGGCCCCCTAGCCCACTATTACGCAGGTCTCCAGCAGCCATCACCAGCACTCGAGCTCTATGAGACGCCTTGAAGAGCGCCAGGCACCAACAGGCTACAGCACCAGACTCAAGCCGACGAAGACAAGCTCATTGACATGGAGCCCAGCCCAGCCCACTCAGAGCTCAGAGGGACCAGACCAGTCTGACAGCACCAGACGCAATGTTGGGTCGACAGCAACCGGACTGGACGGGTTTTCTAGCCTCGCATCCTCGTCAGCCTTCTTTCTCTTCAATCAACCCCACGCCTCTCTGCGCTCCACCAATGCAGTTGCTGCCACCTTCACGGAACAACGCCGATTCCCTCGTCTGAAGAAAGCCCATTTTGCTTGGGCTCCTGTCTCGCGACCCCAGCCGGTATGCCAGCCCTTTTCAATTGCGTTGCTTCTGTCTCGTCCTTTGCGCCTCTTGGGACGCACGGCCTGCCGTGGCTGTTGCGGTTGCGCCGTGTGCAACCTCGCATCGCCGTCGCAACCTTTGCGTCGATGTCGTCGAGCGCGAAGCGCATCCAAACCCCAAACCGCCTCGCCCGCGATCCCGTGCTCTTCTCTGCTCCCTGCCCGTCGCGACCTGGTCCTACCCAGTCCCCGATCATTCCCGGCGTTAGGAACGAAAAGAAAAGAGAAAAAAAAAAAAAAGCTGGTCCTCTCTCTCAGCCCGTCATCCTGGGAGACCTCGTTCTTTTCCGACCGCTTCGTACACGTACGCCCCCGTCGTCAAGCTGATCGCACGGGAAGATTCGCGGCGCTCCATCTCATACGTCTTGGTGTCGTGCTGCCTCGCCTTGCCGACACCCGTGTTCTTGGAAGCTCTGCCTCTGCTCTCGTTTTCCCTGCATGCCCACCCCCCCTCCTTGGCCTTGGCCTCCCTTTTGGTGCGCCATCGTCTCCCAACCTACAAGAATTATATCGTACACGCCCAAGCATCTCGTCATAGCCCCATTACGTTGCCTTGTACCCTAGGCGAGGCATGGTGAAAGCCATATGCAACCGCAATTGTCCGTTGAACG